TCAAAAGCCGCGTCCTTTCTTCAGTTCTAGTCTGAACAGCATCAGAGTTGAATAAATAACAACAGCTTTGCTGACACCTGCGAGTTCGGAGCATCTTCGGTTATTTCAGCCACTGATGTGATTTAAACACACTTAAAACTCGTCAAATTTATGCACTAAGCAGACACTTAACAGAAATGAAAAAAGTCGAACAGTGTTTGAATGTTCTGTTCGAACATGTCCGAATCGGTTAATGTGCGAGTCAAACAGTGTCCGATTCGAACTTGCCCGAGTCGGTTGTTCGGTCCGTCATATACCCAGTGTGAACGCTTGATCGAAAATTTAAGCCAAAACTCTAGACACCTATCGTAAAAAACGCTTTAATTGTAGGATTTTGTGCTTAACTTTTGTGTCTAATTTATGTAATAAAATGAATGCATTGATTCAAGTGAGAGGGATTACCAAAGGTCCCCAACCTGCCAAACAATAACGGTATTTGTGATTTTTCTAACAACGGAACACTTTATCAAAGGTTTTTATATATAAATGAGCATTATTATTTCTAATAGGTAGAATTTTCAATAGAAAAAGCATAACAAAAGCAGCAGTTTGAATAATTTTATTTTAATTTTCGATGTTTTGATTTATTTAAAAAACCATTTTCAAGGATATAATACAAAGTCTAAATAATGGAGTGAGATAAATTATATATATATACATGCTGCGCACTTCTTGTACTTTCTATTTCTTTCTTACTATCTTTCTCTTTTTACTTTCTGACCTATTCAAGAATTAAATAAGCTAAAGAATAAGAAAGGAAAAAAGAGAAAAGGAATTATTGACATTGTTACATGTGTGCGTCTAGTCTATCTCATCTTGACCATCACATTTATTTATTTTTATCCTTTTCCTTTTCCGAATTATGCCTTCCGGAAAGATGATCATCAGAACGGAGTGAGTTGTGCGATTTACTTTAGGTTCTAACTTCTTAATCATTAGAGCTCTAGCAGTTAAAAAGAATGCGATTGATTTTCATTCATTCTATTCTCATTTCCATTGTTTTTCTCTATCTATGACTCATTTTTGCGAACCCATTTCATAGATTTTCTTTTGCTTGTAAAGCAAAAATAAGTCATAGAGAAAAACAATGGGAATGAGAATCAATCACATTCTTTTTAACTGCTAGAGCTCTATTAACGTTTCTTTTATGAGTAAATAGTACGAATGATTATCGTGATCAATAACTTCGAAATTTCTCCAATCGATTTTTCCTTTAGAACACTTGTGCAACATATGGTAGTTCTATATACATCTTCTTTCTGGTTTCTTTCCAGGAAAAAGTTTTCAAACAGAATTTATACAATCTTGAGCATGAGAATAGCCATGCGGATTAGAAGAAGAGGGAAACATTTAAGAAAACATTATCAGCAAACAGACTATTTCATGAGTAGGAGGAAGTGGATGATTGTCACTGAAAATAAGAATTAAAAAAGGCCAGGCCCAAGCACACTACCTTCTGGTACGCCAGAAGTAGAAGAAAAGACAGCGTCGTTCACACATAATGTAAATGTAATAATGTACGAAGGTGCGCACCCTCCCACTATTTAAAAAAGTGTTGTTTCTCGCCTGTAGAAAAGGTTTCACGCTTTTCATACTATCTCTGCGGAGAAAATCTTTTCGAACACCATATCGGATCTGTTCACTCTTTTTTGCGTTTGCGCCATCCGTGTGTTTCATATGATTAAGGTTAGTCTGACACCATTTTTACAAGTACTAAATAGTATCAGATTATCTTGACATAGTGTAACTCAGTCTTGATAACAGTGATGGGTCAGGTTTACACCAAGAGCGAACGATAGCTGCAGATTGCTGCAATCAATGTAAGAAAATCAAAAGGTTGTGCTGCTTTTAATGGTTGTTCCTGACATATTTTCATCATCGTTTGATGAGATCAAACTAGAACAAAAAAATTAACTAATCAAATAGGATAAATAAGTATTAGTGAAGACTCGATTGTTCTTTTCTCTGTTTTTTACTTACCATTTTGTACCACGTTGGATGTTTTGTTTGATGTTTATTGACTTAATGAACTATTAGTTTATTTATTAATATTAAAACTTTCCCATTTCCAGTAAATCTACTTCTGAAATCCTGTTCTAGCGCTCGGTTACTGAAAATGTCTTAGTTTATTTATAGTGTCTCTTTTTATCTCTTAAATTCATTTCATAAGGTATTTATCAGTAAGTTTTCTTGGTTTATTGAGTGTAATGAAGTATTGTTGTAGTAACAGCGGAAAATATCAAGTACTTCTATAAGTACACGCCGATTAATTATTTTAATATAATTAGTATTTAAAATTTATCATAAAATACTGTATATCATCATAAATAAAGAACTGATATAAGATATTTTTGTTACTTACCGGTAAACATTTTTGCAACTGAACTCGTCATTCTTTCTGGCTGAATCTGCTATTCGCAGACAAATTGAAGAGATTATCACTCTTTAAATATCAGATTGTATGTTGTTAAACGGGACGATGCCGAAGTAGAATAGATGATGCACGATTACTCTATCTTAACAAAAATAATATATTAGTTTTCATGTACTATTAAAGAAACGATTGTTCTGCTCAATACAACATAGCAGAGCATTATACATAAAAAGTGAGCTTTCGATACTTCACACTACCATCACCAGTCTAATATGACTAAAGTCTGACGATAATACTATGAAGTATCGAAAGCTCGCTTTTTATGTAAAATGATTTCACGAAAATGTTGTTTAATTATATTAGAATATACTTAGTTTTATAAAAAAACTTAGAGAACCATTATTTGTTATTATCTATTAGTTCGTTTTGTTATTATTCTTTGACTTTTTAAGATTAAGGTGGTATAATCTCGTTGTTTTGTTTACATCAATTTCATGAGCAAGAATATTTGTAAAATACGCTAACACTCATTAATAGTCCCCATTTGAAATCGAATATAGCCGATAGATAGAGCTTGTCCAACTGATTGTAAAAACATCGAATAATATTCAAGTGGATAGTGAATAAGGGCAAATATCCCATGAGGATGCAACACACGGTAAACAACGGTAAAATATTGCCTCTTCACGCTCAGAAAAGAATGAAATTAACAGTATTATAATTGATGTATCATATGCCTACTAGTATACCTTGTGTTTTACTCTTTTCCTTTCCATCTGGTGTCTATGCGTATGAGTCGAAGTATTTATCATTCATAACCATGTCGTGATGTATATTTTTTTCTTTCTTGTGTACGTTCGCGTTATTATATTGATGGTATAACATTGTGTTGTTGTTCGACTCGAGCAAGTGACTCTAAGTCTCTTTTCACTTAGCATTTGATTGGCGCACAAATGTTATAGAAATTGGGCATAACATTATTGAAATTCTGGCTGATAAAGACGTGAAAAAGTAACAGAAAAAAGAACAATCAATAAGTATAGCATAGAGTTGACCTCAATAGTTTCTAACACTCTCTTTTTCTTATCTCTTAATGACTTTTTAGAGAAGAGATGTTGCTAATGAAAACTGACTGTTTTTTGTTTGTTGATTGCTAAATGCAGGCTAGTTAGATTAGTTTCTTGAATTTAGGACAGCGTGTTTTTTATATTTAAATAAAGAGAAAATCTGCTGTTAGCCAGTTTTTTATCCGTTTGCCTTTGTTTTAACCTTGACAAAAATCATATCGTTCTGTTAAATCTATATCAGACGTTTGTCTTAGTATTTATTATAGTTTATTTAGGTTCAATGATTAGTCTATTATTTGCTACTATTGCATTTTTCTCTTTGCCTTCTTTTTGTTCTTTCGTCCACAGTAGAAGAAAAAAACAACAACGTTGATGATATACATGAAAGTTACACAATACATCTAACAAGCTTAACAACTAACGAAATGTATTTTAAAAATGTTGAATTAAATGATTGCATTATTTTCATTTTTTTATCATTAATTTTGAAATAATATTTAGTCATTAGTTATTTTAGTATGTACTAGTCGTAGATAGTCAAGTAAATAAAATAGTTAAAGTAATAAAAGCTTATGAATGGTTATGGTGTTTGAGAGAGAAAAGATTTCTTGGTAAATGATTCTGAAATTTAAGAACCAAATATTTAAAAAGTTAGCCTAAAATTTGCAAATCAATTAGGGTGTAGGCTAGCTATTAGAGACGTATTATGCATACAATTCAAAAGAGTATCATGAAGAATTTGGCAGGATTCTTGTTTTTCCAATAGTTTAACAAAACTGAAATGTCTCCTATCTTTGTTTGAGTTGTGACAACATATTGTAGTTTTTAACTAAATGAGTAGAGAAATAGCCATTCATTTTTTTATACTATATAATTTTCTCTTTGAGAAAGTCATTTTTTTCCGTACACTGACAGTAAAAATAAAAACTAATTTAAAATGTACAGTTTTATTTCAGATTATAATGCTTTGATTTTTTTTCCTTTTGTTTCTTTAATGAAACTCTTTTCTTAATACAAATTAAGAATAAAATCACCTTTTTCATGTGAAATGAGTAATTTCAAAATGAGACGTTTCGTCTTTATTCTAAAGACATCATCTTTTCTTAATCTTTTTTAAATAATTTCAAATAGCATCAAAATAATATTGGTTTCATATCATGTTTTCAATTTGCGCTAGCATACGCTATACTCGATGATATATACAACGTTTTTCTTGTATATCGATGAATGTTTTGATATTTTGAAAAACTTTGTTTACAAACACCCATGCTCTTTATAATATAATTTATTTTAGATAATTTGTGTTTGTCTGCGTGCACTCTCCTTTTGTTTTATCTTTTGTGTGTATTATGTTGCTATTGCAACGATTATAATAGAATTATTTTTGAGATGCCATATCACCAAACGCTGATCTTCATTAGATAATAAACAAAAATTCAGCGTCGAAACTTTAACAGTTTTACCTGTGAGTTTTCCATTTTCAATGGTATAGATAACAAAAATTGATTTAAAAATATCAAATGAAAAATTTACCACTTTTTAAGAAGAAAGCGCCTGAGGGTAAGCTCAAAATCTGCCAGTTTACCATCAATACCCCTAACTTTGTTCACTCTTTCTTTTCTCATAGGAGAGCAACATCGTACAATCAAAGCGAATGATCGTGCAAATAATGCACTCAAACAATACGCTGTATGTATTACAGTCATATACGCCCGTATACTCTCTATATTCATATTGTGGTTTCTTTCTCAGGATAATCTTATTTCTACATCGAAATACAATTTAATTACATTTTTACCAAAAAATCTTTTTGAACAATTTCGTCGCCTAGCAAATGCATATTTTTTGTTTTTACTGTGTCTGCAGGTTCGTTTATCGTATTTAGTATCTTCTACTTTCTTCTAATACCTTTGTGTTGTATTTTTTTAGCTTATACCTCAAATTAGTTCACTTCAACCAATTACCACAATATTACCACTTGTTTTTGTATTAGCACTAACAGCTATCAAAGATGCATCAGATGATATCGTATGTTCAAATTAAAAACTATTATTTTGTTATTTAACTACCTCTGTGTTTATTTCTTTAGTCAAGGCACAGAAGTGATAGAGAAGTTAATAAACGTCCGACTAATGTTCTTTTGGACGGAAAACTTGTGAAAGAGATATGGGCAAAAATTAAAGTGGGTGATATGATTAAACTCTCAAACAATGATTTTGTGACGGTAACATTAATTTTTTTCTTAACAATGTGTCCTGTCGATTGTTCATTATGAAGAAATAGTAGCATGTGTATTTTCACTTGTTTAGGCAGATCTTGTACTTATATCAACTAGTGAACCGAATGGATTATGTTTTATTGAAACAAGTGAATTAGATGGGTTCGTGTTATTAAAGAAAACTTCCTAGTTTTTCAATAGTGTATGTTTGTTGTTTATAGTGAAACTAATCTCAAAGTTCGTCAGTCATTAGAAGAAACATGTGATCTAAAAGATAATATAGAAGAATTAGCTAAATTCGATGGTAATAGTTTTTATCAAAGGTTTAAAGGTTTTGTTTAAACATTGTTATCTTTTAGCTGAAATTGAATATGAAGCACCAAACAATAATTTAAGTCGTTTTGAAGGTAATTTAAAATGGCAAGGTAATACGTATCCATTGAAAAATGAAAATATTCTGCTACGCGGTTGTCGATTAAGAAATACACAATGGGCATTCGGGAGTATGTAATCATACTTTTCTGTTACGTATCACTTTAATTTAGGGCAAGTTTTTCTTATTTTTTTAGTTGTCTGTTATGCTGGACCCGATACAAAACTGATGAAAAACAGTGGCAAAGCAAAATTTAAACAAACAAAAACTGATCATTTACTAAATCGAATCATTCTGGGAGTAAGTACTAACAAATCTAAAAAAAGGGTGACTCAATTTCAGAGCTACCACATATGATATTTTCCTATTCCTTATCTTTGATTTTCATGTTTTGATTTTTTTTATCCTCTAGATTTTTATGTTTTTGTTAATTATGTGTGCTATAATGACAATTTGTTGTGGTTTTTGGGAATCATTTGTTGGATATTATTTTCGTATTTATTTACCATGGGAAAACTATATTAAAGATGATCAACGTGTTGGTGCATTAGAAAAAAGTTTACTCGTATTTTTATCTTATATAATTATACTGAATACTGTTGTACCCATATCACTTTATGTTAGGTAAAAATATCTGAAAATGAAATTTTTTTTTCTATTCTCTATTGATGGATAATTCGTATTCTAGTATTGAATTTATCCGTTTATTACAATCAAAATTTATTGACTGGGATATTCAGATGTATTATGAACCTAACAATGTGCCAGCTCAAGCACGTACAACAACTCTTAATGAAGAACTTGGACAAATTGAGTACATTTTCTCAGATAAAACTGGAACTTTAACTCGGGTATTTTTTGTGTTTAATTGTTCTCATTACAAATATTAAAACTTACGGCGAGACATTTTTGCTTTTTCGAAAATGTCCTCAGATCGATAAACTCATATAATATCGTTGTTAAAACATAAATAATGATGATAAGATTAAGTTAAAACTTTTTTCCGTTCTTTGCCAAGAATAATAGAGACTTTTATTTTCTGTTTAGAATATCATGACATTTAATAAGTGTTCGATACGTGGTAAACTTTATGGTTATGTAACAGATGATGCTGGTAATGAAACTCAAGACCAGGAGGTAAAATTAAATGAGCTTGCGTCTTCATGTCTGTCTGTGTTGCTATTAAAAACAACTGATTATATGTTTCAGCCAAAGGAAAAAAAGCAATTTAAGGACACAGAAATGCAAGTTGGAGGTTCAAAAACAAGTGATAAAAAACAGAATGATGAGGCAGATGTACACATACACCCAGAGTGTGATTAGTAGAATGAGTTTTGATCAGTGTGCATTCATCCATTTATTCTTTGTATTGCTTTTGTTCATCTGATAGCTATGAGTTAATTATTCTGCACTTTTGCTATCCTTCCATAATACTATCCATTGAGTGCATCAAATGTCTAGGAAAAGCTTTTATCCAAGCGAATCAATAAGACAAACATGTCGATTTTGCTTAGCAAGTAGAATTTTCCTCCTTGATTATAAGAGAAATGCTTTATTGTATTATTTTGATAGTTTGACTGATCTTTCTCTTCTATTGTTTAGAAAACGAAACCAATGAAATTTGAAGAAGCTGAGGAAGACTTTGTTTGGTATGATAAAAAATTACCTGATGCAATTAAAGAAGGTGATGAGGATGTGAACGAATTTTTTACTGTATTGGCACTTTGTCATACAGTAATGCCAGAAGTAAAAGATGGTACGACAACTGTGTTATCTGCATTTCACACAATCTGTCATTTCTGATCTTTTTACTTGCGAATTGAAGGTAAACTTATATATCAAGCGCAATCACCAGATGAAAATGCTCTGGTATCAGCAGCAAGAACATTTGGTTATACGTTCAAAGTATGTGGATAAATACTGAATATTACATAGCCAAAACACTGTTTTCCTCATTTTTAGGCACGTACTCAAAGTAGTATAACAGCAAAACTATTAGATAAAGAAGAAACGTACGAATTATTATCTATTCTTGATTTTGACAATGATCGTAAACGAATGTCGGTACGTCGATCTAAGAACGAGCGTTAAGTGTAATATATTATTAATTTTGTTTCTACGTTTCCTGAAGGTTATTGTAAAAAAAGACGGAAAAATAATGCTCTATTGTAAAGGTGCAGATTCAAAAATAAAAGAACGATTAGATCAATCTGAAAATGAAATTATGCAAGAAACAGACGAACATTTAAATGTAAATAAGTTCATTTAATGTTTAGTTACTCATATATACACATAACTGTTTTGATGATTCTTTTATTAAAGAAATTTGCCAACGATGGTCTAAGAACATTATGTCTCGCATATAAAGAATTGAATGAAGCTGATTTTGATGCATGGAATAAAAAGTTAAATGAAGCAAAGTAAATAAAAAGTTTTCTTCTGAAAGTAAATGCTCTAAACTGCTTCATCTTTTTTTCAGTACAAGCATGGAAAAACGTGAAGAAAAAGTGCATGAAACATACGAAGAAATAGAAAAAGATTTAAAATTACTTGGTGCTACAGCTATTGAAGATAAACTACAAGATGGTGTACCTGATTGCATTTCTCGATTAGCAAAAGCTGGAATTAAAATATGGGTCTTAACGGGAGATAAAGTTGGTATGAAATTTATTTGGCTATCAGAATCTGAAAATATTTTCCTTTGTTATAACCATCTTTCTTATTTTAGAAACAGCTTATAACATTGGTTTATCATGTCGTTTATTAACTAATGATATGGATATTAAAGTAATAGAAGATGATAGCGAAAAGGGTGTGGCTGAAAAATTAGAACAAGTTCGAAATGAAATGATTGATAAAATTGAACAATTATTTAATATTAAAATCGAAGATAGAAAAAAACGTTTAAATTGGAAAGATTGGGGTATTGATATAATGAAATTTGATCAACATCGACAAGATACAAATGAAACTAGTCCGAATAATAAAAATGAAACTAATCCAAATAATAATAATAAAAATAGTCCAAATAATAAAAATAAAAATCCGAATGAAGGCATTAATAATACAGGTCAACAGGGACAGACAACCCTGAATGAAGGTGCTAATACTCGAGAAGAATTTGATGGTTTTGGCTTATTAATAACGGGACAAGCGCTAGTACACGGCCTAAATGACAAATTAAAACTGAAATTACTTGAATTGGCTACAATGTGTAAAGCAGTGGTTTGTTGTCGAGTTACACCTTTACAAAAAGCGCAAGTTGTTGAATTAGTTATTGAAAATGAAAAAAAAATTACATTAGCCATTGGCGATGGTGCCAATGATGTTTCAATGATTCAAAGTAAGTTAAAATTTATTCATTATTCCCTTTTTACAAAGTCTTGAGCCTCACTATTTTGAAAAATAAGAGTTATTGTGAATGAAGATCAAATTAGTCAATTCAAAAGAATTACAATAAAATTTCTTGTCCATGCTCTTTAATTCTTTTTATAGTTCATATTCTCCTGAATATATACCACCAAGAGTTTTAATATAAATGTTATTTTATTCTGTTTTAACAGATAAGTCTAATATTTGTCGTCAATTTTTTAGAGGCTCATATTGGGGTTGGTATCAGTGGAGAAGAAGGACGACAAGCTGTCTTAGCCAGTGATTATAGTTTTGGACAATTTCGTTATTTGGAACGTTTATTACTTGTACATGGACGTTGGTCATATCTTCGAATAAGCAAATTCTTGCGATATTTTTTCTATAAAAATTTTGCATTTACATTGTGTCAGTTTTGGTTTGCCTTTTTCTCGGGGTTTTCTGCTCAGGTAACGAATTATTGTCAGATATATTTTTGGTCTATCATTTCTTGTTTTTTCATTTTAGTCGGTTTATGATCCATTCTTTGTTGCTACATACAATATGTTTTTTTCATCTTTACCCGTATTAGCATTGGGCATATTTGATCAAGTATGAATTTTTCTCATTTTTGCATTATTTTTAATACTATGAATTTTTTTGCTGTATTTTAGGATGTCAGTGCTGAACACTCCTTGAACAAACCCTTTTTGTAAATATCTTTCTTCTCAAGATGCGATTAATTCAATATATTATATTCTTTTCTTTTTGCTAAGATACACTCCCGGTCAAAATAATGAATTCTTTAATAAAAAGATATTTGCTGAAAGTGTTATTCATGGTATTTTAACATCATGTGTGATATTTTTTGTCCCCTATTTGTCCGCTTCAAACAGTACACGACCAGCCGGTATGACGCAGGCTGATTTACAAAGTTTTGGTTTTATGATTGCCACAATAATGGTTATTATTGTTAATCTTCAAGTATGTAGAAAAAGGTATACGAAACTGTCTATTTATTACCGTATATCTTTGATTTTAGAATGCACTTGAAATGTGGTATTGGACGGGGATGTATCACTTTGTATTATGGGGCACAATTGTGATCCATTTCTTGTTTCATTGTGCATTGTATAGTACACTTATTTGGAAAATATTTAAAACAAATTATTTTTATGTAGGAGTAGCACAGGCTGTATTAACAACTGGAAATTTTTGGTTTACTTTATTTCTTACTTGTGCAATACTGTTGTTACCGGTATTTGCTAGAGAGTAAGTAACAGAGATAAATAACAAATATCAATATTTTGAATAAATGACTCGTTTTTTTATTTTTAGATTTTTTCGTATGCGTTTTATGCCCACTATGACAGATAAAGCTCGTCTAAATCGAAAATATCGTGTTGAGGAAAAACAAGCATTTATTGAGCATATTCATAAGTTAAAAAAGCAAGTCAAACGCCCAATCAGGTTTGTTATCTTGTATCTATTCACTCTCGTCTCATAAGAAATAACTGAATAATGTATTTCAGATCTGGTTATGCATTCGCTCAACAGGTAAGTTTACAATTTTATTTGTTGGATTAGTTCATAAATTCTTCTCTTTTTTCCATCGTGTATAGGAAGGTTGGGGTCCGTTGATTACTTCTGGTCGTATGATGAGTCGGCGTCAATTTCCTGCAAAAGAAATAGTAAGTAGCTTTTGATTTGTTCTAACGCTTTATATTTTTCGTTTTCACTGTTTCTCGTTGATGAATTTTTCAACGTGAGTATGTACAACCTGATCTCTTTTGTTCAGTTCTTCCTTGTTTTTTGTATGATGGAAATGAATATACTGGTCTTTAATTCTTTTTTTGTCTCAGCATCGTAAATATATTTTGCTTGTTCTGTCGGATTGTATTATTGCGTATACTCTTGCTGATATTTCTCTTCTTTTCGATGGTTAGCGTCAGTTTAATCCCACTAAACAATTAACAAGCCCTTTTTCTATGATGTCTCATTCAAATTGTTATAGCATCTTCGACTATATATACAGTGATGCGTTATCAACTTTACGCACTTTTCTTATTGTTTGATGTCCATAAAATTAAACAAATAAGCAAAAAGTAGACTACTTATTTCTTTATATTTTAATATAAGAAACTTGTTCACCTATTGCATGATGACATTCTTAATTCTAATTATTATTTTTCTCTAGAGATAGAAAAAAACAATAACAAAATAATCAGACAATAGTTTTCATTACAGTTTTTGTTCCATTTTTGAAAAAATGACATTTCCAAAGATCCAATTATTATAGGCTGGACTAAAACTGTACATTATCGAAAATAACTAGAAACAAATCACCGAAATTCAGCCCTAGAATAGTTGCATGTCTAGTTCCAATTTATTATCTATTCAAAATATGGTGTGGTGTGTCATTTTCTAAATAACTGCCCATGAAATAAGTTGAAATGACTAACGGTCGTTAGAATGCGTTAAATATGAAAATAATCAAATATTTCATCTTTAACGCATTTAAACGGGTTAAATTCCCAAATTTAAGGTCGAACGTGATTTCGAAAAAGATACGATGAAAACCGCGTTTAACTTCTAAATTTAACACTTTAGAGAAGTGGATTAACTCGTTAAATGCTTCAAATGTAACGCATTCTAACGATCATTTTCCATATCAAATTATTTCATGAGTGCTGATAAAAAGTCGATACATACATCTAAAAAACCCGTTTATAACTTCAAAATTAGAGAAACCAAATACATATGTATTTGGTTCCATATAAGAATAGACAATCTAAAATGTCCTCTACAAAACTACAAGTCATCCAACCTTTTGATATATACCGTACAGGGGTCTCAAATTAGTTTTTTCAATTGTGTGACAGAAAGTTCCGAATGGGGGACGCTTATTTTAACGAAATAATGCTATCTCAATCTAAAATGTCCGATGGGCTCAACTAAAGTCACATGTTTGCAAAAGACTAATGGTTTATTTCACCTTTCTACTTGCGAAGACGGTCTTGACTGTTCATTTTAATAACAAAAACAAATGTTACAAAAAAACTGTACATTACAACTAAGCTAATTATTGACAGGTATACATTTTTTTTTGAACATGTGAATATTTTCTACTAGAATGAACTTCTTTTAAAAGATCAGCGTTGGATAAAACATGTATATCAAAATCTGTACAATATTATTATATTGTCTATATTCATATTTATCCTATCTATGAGGTTTTATCGACAAACTTATACCACACATATCTGATGAGCAGAGAGACGACAGAAAGAGTGATTTTTTGTTGATCACTCGAATAACTCTGTTAGCTAAAAATGGTGAATGATAATGATCTTTATAGCAAGATATGCTAAAGAGGACGCAAACCTTTGTAGATTAGGTAATAATCCGTCAATCAATACTTTTTCTCTCAAATATGGCATAGAGGTATAACTTCAAAAAAATTGCCAGTGAGGAACAAAACGATCGAATGGAGAACTGTCCCTCTCAATGAGGGAACCCTGGTGGTGTATTTTCAACTTAGCGTCGAATTTTGTAGGACTGTCCATGTAAATATTTGCGTTTGAAAAAACGCGTCCCTGAAACTCAATAAATGAGTTTGATCGCTAAACGCATTGGAAACATAAAATGTTTACATGAGTAGTCCTGGTTGGCTTATCCCTTTAAAAATGAATGGAATATAGGTTAACGGGCATGCTAATTATCTTACTAATGTTTATTATTAAAAAGAGATGAGAAACCATAGTAAAACCCTACTTTAGGTGAAAGAATCAGTTTTGAATTATTCTCAGGGAAAATTAAAAAATTTCTCGATGACTCGAAACGCTGAAAATTTTAAGGTATACTTATTTGAGATTTTACGTAGTATTATGTAAGCAAAATTGCCAAACGTGCATTTTTTTAATTTCAGATTTTTCTGGTATACATCGGTGTAAAATCTGAAAAACACATATTTTTTTCAGGTTACGATAGAAGTTTTCAAACGTTCTGAATGAGTTTCTGATAAACTATTCAGAAAATGACACACAGACTACACTATGGATAGTGGTTGTGGGACAGATCGACTGGAGTTTTTACTGTCTGCAACTATCAGTTTCACCTTTCGAAAATATCATTTCGAACTAATGAAAATAAATATAAACTTTATTAGTTTTTATAAGATAAGATTGGCTACATTTTGCTATTAAAGTTCAGTCTGCTAACATTTAAATTTTTTGTACTTAACCCACGGCAAGTTATAACCGTAAGGATACAAATGCTTATTTAAAAGGACGAATTAGTTTCTAAAATGGTTAATTCTATCCAGGAATCAACGAATGAAATAATACGACATAAAAAATTTCATTGCAGGGGGCCGTATCACAAAAAAACTTCTGAGTAAAAAAGTCTGGGTTAAGTCAAAATTTGGACTTAAGTCTTTGTTATGTGCACTTACCTGCTAATTTTATACACTTAAATCTAGACTTCGACTTAAGTTTTTTCTTAGTATGACCCCTAGGAGTTTTTTAATCGTTAATAAACTTCGTTGGGAATATTCCTTCTTCATACAGTCTTCCTCATCTTAAATCTTTTCTTCATTTTTGTGTATATCTTCGCCGGTAATTTAGACTCCAAGTCCGTCATTAAGCAATATCCAGTCAGCATCAAACGATTCCAATTTACCTTCGCAATTAGCCAGTCGCGACGAATATGATGATAAAAACTTGGGTACAAAAACTGCTGCAACGTCTAGTCAACTTTCCAAACGAGGAGGAAGCGCAAAAGAAACAGATCCATTGATAACGAAGCGTAGTGACGTTTGAATTACTGAGTTTCTTTCCTGTTGATCAAAAGCTTAATGGTGCAATCAATAGTCATCTAACGTATGTGATTTTTGTCTAGAATAAATCTCGCGCTTGCTTGCTAATCTCGACAATCATGCGCTTTCGTTGCTATTTCTTATATTTTCTGATCTGATGTAAAATCACGTCTTTTTTAACCGAGCTCTGTTTTATGCAGTTGTATTTTTTATTCACATGTTTTGTTCTGCATGAACTGATTACTTATCATTACTTTCGTAAATATGACAAAATGTATGTGTAGCTAAACGTTTTCTGTGTTTTATTTGTGTTTAACTTTTTTTATATGTGATTAATTTTTGTTATTTTCTAATTTTTTCAATATTTGCTCTAGTATGTATTGTTCTGCGTTAATTTGTCATTATCAAGAACTGTAAGTATATACATGGCATACTATTTGTTTTTCTAAAAACAAATGCTCAGAAATTAAATAATGTTTATTTGACTTGTTCGCTCAAACGATAGATTCATTCTACTCTTTTTTGTTATTATAGAATACACAAATTCAACTGTAAAAATAAGATAAGCATTACCATATAAGCCGTTCGTTGATATACATACACACACACACACACATGATGAATTTTATCTTTTCTTTAGTATCCAGAATTGCTTTGCATAATTACAACTATTTCTATATCACTTTATTTTTATGTATTAAATTCACTTTTACACACAGAATATTCATTCTCTTAATCAACATTTGTGAGTGATCGAAGTATTTTTTAAATTCTGAAACTTTGATTGCTGTTTAGCAGATATTTTTATTCTTCTTATTCTACATGTGAGTATATGAAAAAATGTCGAATCCAACAGTATTTATTTTTATTGCTAATTTTATCTTGAAGATTTTCTCCTACAATAAACCACGGACATGAAACTATTTATTTGATGCTGCATCAAAGAATGTATGATCTCTTACATTCAGTCACTAATAACTCGACCGAATTAGCAGATATTTGCTTTCTTTTATCTTTGTCACCTATAAATGCTTTAGGGTGATACGATGGTGAGCGTACATCACCATCGTCTTACAAATTCTTTCAAATGAAAATTAAATCTTATAATTTAACTTTAACCCAGGCAAACTTAACAAATGAAATAGAGTAATAGCAACTATTGATAATAATCATTCAAATTCATTGTGTTCCGTAAAATACTCAGTCGTTCTATAACCGTCCGGATCTGCTTCACATGAAAAAAACCAAGTTGATCAGGGATAAAAGAGCTGATGATTTTGAGAATGATCCTTTGTCTATCGACTTTTATCAGAAGATAGGTTTTTTTGTACTCAATTAAAAGTAATCTTCTGTATTTTCGTTGTATTTTCACAATTATTTACGGTCATACTTTTTTAATTTTGTTAACATTTTTCTAAAGTCTTTTGTGTCTTGCTATTCTACTAGTATCTTTTCTCTCAAATCAAAACTCTGTTGAAGTCAAAAATTTTTTGAATAGTTTATCTATACGTATTGTCTTTCTCTCTTTATTGTTATTTATTTTTGCGTTATCTTACTTGTTGTCAAAGAGTATATTATTAGATTCATTTAAAAAATGCTTTTTTTGAACGTATATTTACACTAATTTCTACATAAATCAATAAAAATGTGAATATGATTCAATTTGTTTTTCTGAGTTCAGTGCTGTAGAAGATACTAATCTATTAATTGTCTATAGCAGTTTAGTAAAAAACACGAAATTTTTGCCCGCAGCCTTCGGGAGTATAGAGATATTGGTAAATCTCTTCATATAGTGAAAGCATCCATGATAAATCACTTGTAACTAGTTTATTTGTAATTTTGAACTTAATTGTTCGTGAAATACAGAAATTTCACAGAAATATCTCTTTTAAACTTCCAAAACACGTAAGTATATATTTTTCATCGAGTAAAATATTAGCGTATCGACATAAGAATTAAACGACGGATCCAAAATCAATCAATAAAGATGGATAGATAGATACATATGTCGTCACTTTTGTAGGACTCTTGTCTTTGGCCAATTTAGACCATTAACTTGATCTGCTACCGGTAAAAAAGTGCTTTTTAACACTTAAAAAGGTTTATTATCATCAAATCTGCAGTTTTCAGAGGTTTTAAACACATCCTTATTACACCAATCATACAGTTTATCATTTATTTTATTGCATTGGTTTTTACTGTTAAAAATATTAAAAAGAATGACCGAAGATGCCGCCTGTATAGGCATCTTCGCCATGTTATATTACACATTTGCACAACCTCTGGACCATGCTCTTTTGACTTAGCATCTACATAAGATTATCTCTAGCTGAGAATGTTTTGTGAAAAATAAACTTACTTTTTAAGCATAACTCAATTATTTCTTTAGAATACAAAAATTGATTTACTACTCAGAAAATAGAAGTTCTACCGGAAAAGGACGACATCTAAGACTTTATCCAATGTGGTCATTCAATCAGTTCTTTCGATTGTCGGAATTATAGATAGACATTTTTTAATGCTAATTTTGTAAAACGTCAATAAATGGAGAATAAAGAGGACCAAATTAATGTGGACTAAGAACAGCTGGCGATATTCAGGTCATTGTTTAATCTGATATCTCTATGTTCACTTCTGAATCTTACTTTTAATACCAATTTGACTTTAAGTCTATTTAATAATTAGTCCTTTCAATGAAGCGTAACAAGTCTATCGCTTTACGGTTATGTCTTAATTCTAATTCAGCTATAAATAACTAAAACGAATAATGTCCATTTTAGAGACCTGATTCGAATATACAACCTCACAGTTGTGAGTTTGCATATCCTAATAGCTATAGGAAAAGTCAATTTAAAGCTAGTCATTTTCAATTTTACGTAATTTTAGATGAATAATTCTTTATGAAAGTAACTTCTTTTATACTTCTATGGTCATTGTATTTCTCAAAACATGGTTAAAGAATCAAAAGTTACCACTGCAAAAAATCTGGTTCCTGATGAAATTATTAAAGGGTAGAGAAATAAATTAGATTTGTTGTAATTATAATAATTTTTTTCTATCTTCTAGTATCGATTTAATAAAACCTATTAGACTTTATTTGGAAAAAGAAAAGAAGAAAGTTCCCGAAGTATATGATGCTAAATTTAAGTTCGGAACGAATATGTTTATCGATATTACTTCTTGTTTTAGGGTGAAAAATTTAGACTTCGAAACCAATTTTTCAAATTATCCGATAAAAAGCAGCAAAAATATTTTCAAAAGAGCGTTGATAAATTTATTGATTTATTGGTAAGTTGTGAGATGTACCCTTATTTTTTACTTATTTACTATTGACTTTTAGGAAGAACATGATATTGATATTCAAACTCAGCAAGACGCTAATTTGTTTAATGAATTATTGAATAACACAGAGAGAAAGAAGTATTTTGATAACTTTTTAAATGCACCATGTAAACCGGCACAGTAAGTTCTGCCTATCCTGCTGAACATCCGAATCTTGTACTCAAATTTGTTTTATACTATTATAGTAATGGATGGGTCATGTATCAACAAATAATGAATCAGGAAAATGGTAGTCCAGTTGATAAAAAAGAAGTAAACATCAAGTGGAAACTTATGAATAAAGTGGAGCAAGAAAAATATCGAGATTTAGCACTTCAGGTATCTTTTATGAGATATACTACTTACATGTTAGAAAAAGTTAATTATCATCTATATGGAGCGTAGCATAAGCATGACAATCAAAAATCTAGATTTTTATGAGTGATTAAGTTAGCACTTATTTCTTTATCTCTTCCGATCGACATTAAAAACGAAGTACTTAAACTGTTCCAGTTAGTCTAAAGGTGAACATCAACCCATCCCTTCGACATTCTGTAGGACGGAATGATATTTTTTCAAAAAGGAATTGGCAAGTTCCGCTGAATTTTTAAAAAATTGACGGAATTGAATGTCAGAAAGCTTTATCCTATTCAGTTGTTACTAGCACATTTAAGAATTCAATATTGTTTGTTATTTAAGGCACATAATCAATATGAACAACAAGTTGCTAATTTTGCTAATATATTACCAGAACGTATCAAGGCTGAATATTTATCTTCGATTAAATCAACATTAGCAACAAATGGATTTCCTCAGGCACGAAAACGTCGACAATCAACCGGTTCTATTATTAATGCACCATCAACTGCATTACCAAAACTTAAACGATCTCGTCAATCAGTATCGGCTGTCGCATCACCAAATTTTGATGAATTAGACGAACAACGAGAAAACGGATATACACCATCATCGAATAAATTAACAAAAGATCAACTAGTTCAATTGCATCAATGTTTGCCAAGCGCATTATATTATAATAAAAAAGTTTCTGATGAAGAAAAACAGAATTTTAATGATGGTTTAAAAGAAGCTCAACGTGCACGTTTAATATTTGATAAACTGAAACCGAATAAACGTCGAAAATGGATATTAAAAGCCGGAAAAAAATGGACTGAATTTTTAGAAACACACACGGATATCATCACAAACCAAATTCCAACGTTACATCTTCTACTTTCAAAACAAAGTGATAGATTAACATATTTTTATTCAATAGGCTTACCAGAACGTCCACCAGTTACTAATATGAAGTTATATAGTCAAGAACATGCTGATGATCAAGAACAAATAATATGGACGAATATTGACCAAAATGTAAAAGATAATTATTCGAAACGTGTAGTGCAAATGAAAAAACAATATAAGAAAGATTTAGCATCATTTATTCAAGTAAAATTGCATGATAATAAATATTTACAAATGGAATTATTTCATAATTTGAAAACTATTGCTCGTGATTACGAATTCATATCAAAAAAGAAATCAATGACAAAACAACAAAAAATAACAAAATATTATAAAAAAGAAGATACAGATGATGGTGAATTAAACAATCTACATCAACGACTATTAACAACACCACTCAACGATGAACAAAAGATACTTGTTCAACAATTATTTACATTAGCATTGAAATATAAAGAACGAGTAAGTTAGTTTGACGTTTTTTGTTTAAAACACAACAGGAATCAACTGTCGACATTGGCTTATTCAGCACTTATATGAAAAATGGATATTAAGCTTTAAAAAAAATATTCAACTTGATCAAGTATTAACCTAATTTTTCTACTGTAGTTAGACGGGATTTTCAGTGAAATCTAGTCAAACGCTTGAAACACTTTTCTCTTCAGTTTCATTAGTTTGTAAAAGTTTCCATAGTCAGGGATATAAATTTATTTAAACTAAAAATCTGTTTGTGTGTGTGTGTGTTTAGAAGAACAATAAAACACAGCAAGATTCTATTGATCATCAGAGCACCTTAGAATCACACTTAGAATCACCAGCTTCATCAACACCCTTGGAACGAATCGATGAAATATCAAATGAAGAAAATGACAAAATATTGTTTGCATCTCATACTCCGTTGATACATGATAATCTACATAAACAAGTGAACGTAAAAGATGAGCAAGATTCAGTTACTGATGTGCCCGGTAAATGTTATTCGTGTAACTATATTTTATGTTATTTTTGTCAATGTATGTGTATTTATCATTTTAGGTAGTCCAATATATAATTCCACGCAATTATCGAGCAATGATGGAGATTTAAATATAACGCCTACAACAAACGATATCGATGAAGAACAAGTACACGTAAAGAAGAGAAAACATAAACGAAAACGTGACGAAAATCAAGAAGAAGAAGAAAAACAACCGCAACAACATAATATCCAAATGAGAGGTGATTTGACAAATACACGTGGAAAGAAACCAAAAAAGACCACAGCGTAAGAATACTTCTTTCTTAAGTGTATATTATATCTGTTTGTTTTGTTTTATTTTCCGTGTTCATTAAAAAAATGTTAGTGATTTGTTTTGTAACCTTCCATGAAGGTATGACAATCCATACTTTAATGGATTTACGGGAAACGCTAATTTTCTTAATTATGTATTTCTGTTTTTTTGTTATTATCGTTGTTTCTAGTTGGTTTTACACTTTTGTTTCGTTACCTTTGATAATTGATATTTGATCAATAAAAATATGAACTCACATAAGCTCATTGTCCTGAAATAGGAATGAGCCATTAACGTCATAAAGACAAATGAAAATTAGTATTATAAGAGATGCTGTTTATTATTTAATAATCCACTGTGTTAACAGATAGATTAATTTGTCAGTATGGATAATAACCTTCTCAGAAAATGTCGACGTGACGCTGAAAAGTTACTGCTTCACGCAAAAAGCAACACACTCCTACCCATGTGTTAAGCTCATCCGCTAGTTATGAGTTTGCTGCCATTTTTCTTATTTCACTCATATTCTGAGTTCGAGTTCGTTGTTTCAATTTGAGACCTTCATCGATAAAAACGGTTATATGATTAACAATATAAACAGCAAACATGCTTAGAAAAGCTCTTTCTACAATATTTTCGTAGAAAGTTTATGGCAGAAAATTAATGATAAAATACAATGAATGATAAGGAGGTTGATTTGATGATTTTTCGGAATATCACTTAATTACACAATCAAAGAGGATAGCCTAACATGATACATACACTGAGTCAAAAAAAGTTTAATTTACTTTTTGTCTTTAGGCAAATTTTCTTTATACTTACTGCTAAGATCTCCTCGACGCATTTTTTCTTACATCGTGTATCTTATCTTGACCAAATAAAAATACTTCTATAAATGTGGATGTAATAAAAACTTAACTTCGTTCAGCATAATTAAGAGTTTAATAATGTTGTAAAAAACTAGTTAAAAATTACATTCGATCTGTTCTGTTATAGCTACATAATTCTAAATATATTAAGCTGTTGATAAAGAGATCGACTGTAATTTGTGAAAGATTGTTTAATCAAAAGTTATGACAGTTTTACTACGAGTACCATACACTAGCGCAGCCATATTTTTAAATCGAATTTCTTCTTCGTCGCTTCAAGAGTTTTCCAAAATTCTGACTCAATTTAAGTGCTAGAGAGCTCGGAATGATCCTATTTTGTAGAGAAATATTGTCGTTTCAACTGTACGGAGTTGAATTTTTGAGTTTCGTTTTTGAGAGTTAAGCAAAAATTCGGATCTCTGTAAAATATTAGAGAAGTTTTGAAGAAAGATGTTTTGCTTCAATAATTAACGTAAAATTTAAAAAAATTCGATTCTATACTGTTAAAGCGATTGCATTTTTCGACGAAATGAAACCATCCGGAGCTCTTGAGCATCTAGTGTGAATGAGCGTTTTGGGAAATCTTAGTTGTTCCATTTTGATCACTCTTGTGGAGACATCTCTGTCACAAAGATAGATCACAATCAAAAAAATTTTTGTCACTATACTTTGACATAGAGATTCTTCGCTGAAGGTTTAGCCCAGATCGAACATGTACTTACCGAAATAGCTTTCTGACAGGGAAAGCCCTTAATTTTGACAGTTTTTATTTTTACGATCAAATGTCTATCGATCAACAACAATGCAATTATTGTTTAACTACGATTTAAATCAAATTGAGATAAAAAATTTAGTGACTCATATGATCATCTGGCATTTAGCACTGAGAATGATGTTTCGCAAAAAAAAAACACATACAGATAATGACGAAAATGATAATAATACTTTTTTCGGTGGTTCTTACACTCAATTGTATCATTCATCTAATTAGAATGATCAAATACAAGTGTTTGAACACGCATCATTCATTAATAAAATCGATGAATTATAAGAAAAATTAATAATGAAAAGCGAAAATTTTCGATATTAAAAGTAAGATAAGAGATTTATTTATCATCTCATACAATTTTACCTTTCGCTGATTTAATTTAGAGATTAGAAGAGCAAGAGTCCAATCGTGAGTGATTAATGTATTTTTTGTGTTGACTGATGAGAATGTATTTTAATGTATTTGGTTACAAATTAATTCAAGTTTTTTTGTTGTTGTCATTTTATTCATCACTCCATAATATAAATATATTTCACAGTTGCTCGTTGTCTAGTGAAAGTTTTATTTTACTTTCATTTTTATGTATTCATTTTATTAACTGCTTTTTATAAGTAGTTAACAGAGATTAGTTGCATCAAAACAAGTCTACGTTGACTGTTTAAATCTCTAAAATTTTATGAGCCTTTTTTTCTTTCTTCTGTTCATTTATAAATACAAATAAATGTATGAGTACAAAATGCATATCATTGTGCACTTTTATCTGAGTTATATCAAATTGTGCGATATATCAAGATAAAAGATAACTAATATTCATTAAACTTTCATTTATCCAAGCAAATGAAACTAAGAAATGCGAATTAGATTGTAGAAAGATCTATAAACCATGGATTTTTATGTACAGTTATTTTCTTAGGATCATCGAGTCAAACTGTACATCTATACCTAAAACATATATTTTTCCAGATATTGAGCATAGAACAGTCAATCTTATCAACGTTATTGATATATGTGATATCCTAACATGTAATATGAAGCAACAACTATTTTCTAATAAAAGTTTATGTTAATAAAGTAAATGAATGCAGTGATGGTTCTTGTTTCAGAGCTGGAAATCATCTTAGAATATTGAAGATGACCTGCAATCACTGAATGAAAAATGTATGTTTATAATTCTCTGGTATTTTTAAATTTCTGCTTTCTCTTAGAGAGACATTCAGAGCATTTCTAGACATTATTGTGCCTACAATGAACCTTGATTGCATAAAAGAACTTTATAAATTATAAATGTTTTTTCTTCATTTTGTCTGATTTTGTTATAAGTGACTTGTTACTATACTGACGATATAGTTCGGTCAACTGTATAAAAGAAATCTTTTTTTTAGTTCAGTCTATTTATACCTATATCGACAGGCATAAATTCTAAACCTCTTTTTGAAATAAAATGAAAAAAAAAAAGTTGTTTAATTGTTTTTTTTCTTTCTTTTTGTATTTCTTTTCATTTTCAAGTCGATATAGTACATGTTCAATCAATTTCTTAGCAAGAGGACACTTTAGAAAAAGTAAAAATTTTCTTGATCCTTTTTTTTTCGTTCTAATTTTCTTTTCTTTTTCCATAAATGATATATATATATATATATATATATCTGTACATCGCATTCTGAATCATGTATACTTATCCGTTAGAATATATTTTGGTTACTTTTTTTTTATACATATCAAGTAAAAAAACAATAACAAAGAGACAATGTTTACTAACGTATTAAGAGTAGAGGTTCAGAGAATGAATTTAGTATTTAAAAATCTTGTCAACGAAAAATAAAACGATGAGGAGGAGATTAAAAATAATAAAAGAAGAAAAAAAAGTTAAAGGAATAATAAGAGTTGATGTCTGAAAATCTCTTGTATCAATACAACAAATTGTAATCAAGCAGAAGAGATATAGCTTGTATATGCAAATAAGGAAAGAAATCAGAATTTTTGAAAATATAAAAAAATAATTTATCTTTCTAAGTAACTCATTCTTTTTTTCCATTGATAGATATTCAAGATCATTGAAATCAATTAGATAAAACAATCTACACTGTAAACAAACAAAAACAAACTATATAAATGACACACTAAATGCCATTTGACTATTTAGAATTTTATTGATTAGTGTATACCGTATATATCTAGACAAAAGATATATCGTCTAGTTATTGAACATTTTGCACTGGAGATATCCGAAAATCACAGGTCAGTTGTTCAAACAATCGATTATTTTTAAATAGTATGTTTTCGTCATCCGTTTTAGATGAAAATAACAGCATATATATATATACTTTCAAATATACTGATCATAATTCTCAAAAATCAATTTTCTCTTTTCTGCTCTCATTTCACTTCGAAACTCAAAAAACAAAAGTTTTTCTTAATACACTGAGAGGTTAACCGTCTAGAAAAGAAAAACACGCCTTTTTTTATGTCGAGTGAACGTCTAGGTCATTTATACACTTTATTTTTTACAGTACATGTTCCTTGAATACAATTTTTATTCTAATTTTATTCTATTATTATTAATTTGATAACAATAATTTTTAGATTAAAATAAACTTTCTGATTTTTTGTAATGCAAAAAATAACAATGATTGTAAAGTGTATTGAATAAAATGGAAAAATTGTCGTATATTTTTTATCATTATTCAGCTAACAATTTTCTTAAAATAATGCATGCCTCTGATTTTAGTGATAGTACTTTGTCCTTTAATTGCAACATGACCTTACGATGAGAAATAACTATATCCCGATGAACGAAAAATAAAAAAAAAATAAAACGTTTTTTGTCACACACACTATACTTGGGATGTGTACACATCTTTTGTTTCAATATGTGTGATTTTTTCAGTGAAAAAAAAAATCTCTTTAAGAGAGAGAGACGTAAAGAAAGAAACAAAAACGAGGCGACCTATATCGACAGGTAGCCTTGTATTTTGAACATATATCATCAATCGATGTTGTGCATGTAGAGAATGTTGTATTTTCGATCAAAATTAAGAAATAAGAAGAGAATGACAACACAAAGGGGAAACGAACATAAAATGAGATAAATAAAAACTACAAAATACTTTTTTTGTGTTTTGTTCATTGAACTTTTCTTCATTTTTAGGTTCCAATGAATGAATATATATCGTCTAAAATATCTAGTCTTTATTAAAGTAAATGAAGCACGTTTATGTAGGTTAAGGCTATCATCAGCCATTTTAAAACTAAATAAAAATACTCTTAATAAGTTTTCATATTAAAAGAATATCTCATTTAATATAGACTTTTGGTAAAAAATTTCACAAAACAAATCACTAGTCCTTTATCTCTCATACTAAAATTATCTTTAAAATTAAATTTAGGGAAAATGTCTGAAGTGAGACTAAGCTTTTTTTCTGAAACAGATTACATAAAAAATACACATATTAAAATTTTTCTAATAATCGAATTTTGTATAGCAAACATTTTCTCTACAAGATGAATTATGGCGGAAGTCTTCTTGTTTTCTGTTTCTGCCGCAATCGCTTTTCGACGAAGAGCTCTAAATCAGTTATAATCGATCATGGAATTTTTAAAGAATCTTTTTTTATAAGTACTGAATAAGAACGAAGAACACTCCCATTTCATTTGTTAGAAAAATATTTGCTTTACAAAACTCTGTTCTTAGAAAAAATTTTAGAGAATCAATTTTCATATCGAAATGAGGTAAACCGCAACATGAGAAATTTGTAAATTGCATTCTCACCAATCTTTGTTTCTTGAAAGATGCACTTTTCTACATGACAAATTCTATTGTTAGAAATATTACTGACATCAAGAGTAGAGCCCTAGAGATTATACCTAACCTAACCTAATCTGTAGATTAGGTTAGGTTTAAGTTATGAAGTCTTTTATAGGTCCGGTTGTAGGTTACGGTATTGATAACCTATTTTTAACCTAAACGAAATAAAAACAATTTTGAACTACCACATTAAAATCGCCAATCCTTTGGGTAATCAAGTGTAGTCTTAACTTGGGTCAAATAAGTGCCACGAACAATACAAATATTCCTCTCTTGCCACGAGTTGAGATTTTCTCTTAACTTTATTGCTCAATCGATATAGTTCAGTCTGAAGTTCTCTAGTTTAAACTGAACTATTTTTAAACTGAAAAATGGCATAATCAAAAAAGGAAGTACAGAGAAAAAACTTACGTTTGCTAAAAATAGATGGTGAATACACAACAATAGCAGAACCCTTGTAGCGTCGAGAGCCTAAAGTAGCATTCTGGTCTACTCTTAAGAGGGTCTTCCTACTCAGAAAGCTATTTTCCAAACGTTGCATTAAAGAATAAAAGACTCAACCGATTCAATTCTTTATTCATTTAAAATGTGATTTATTTTGTATAAGTTTTTCTATCAGACGCTGTTTAGATAAGAAAAAACAACGATCTGGAACAAAACTGAAGTTTAGATTTCTGAGATCAGATTTTGAGCAAAAATTGCATAGGCTTTATTATGTTAACCTAGGTTAGGCTAGGAAAAACATTAATAGGTCAGATTAGGTTTAAGTTGTGAAGATTTTTATAAGTTAGGTTATAGATTGTCAAAAAGTCGTAACCTGCGGGGCTCTAAACCAGAGAAACGCTCTTTTTGGAGCTATAGGAAGTCATTTCAGTTCATAAAATTAAAGTGAGACTACGACACTCTCATGTCATGAAAATCACATGTATTTTACCGTATACACGATATACGGTAAAAAGAAGTGTTCTTCAAGCTTCGAAGAAGCTCGAAAGCAAAGAAAAGTAAGTTCTTCATTCGTCTCATTTTCAGTTCTCCTTTCACTTTTCAGAAAACTTGTATGAGTTTCTCCGAAAAACCATAGGTTTTTCACTTTTTAAATAATTCACATTCATAAGGACATATGATTGTGCCATGAAAAAATGATTATGTCACAAAGGATTAATATCTATAGTCAAATGAGTTGGAAAAGTTATAATGATTCTATTAAATGGCAAATCTGAGGATGAGTGTTGATTGTGCCGTGAATGTTTATTTATACAATTGTTTTGGACGTGAAAGTATGAGTTGCAGAATATGCATGTATTGATGTAGTTGGTTGAATGATGCTGTAGAGTACAGCAACTAATCGCAGATGTAACTGAAGCACAAAAAAGTATAGGGTAGACAACAATCAAAGTGGTATTATCAGAACATTAGACAATCATAAACATATTGGTTTTATATAGTTACTTTTGTGATATCACATACAATTCATTCTACTTAAAGATTAAAAGAATCAAAAGTTGTCATACATGTGTTGAGAATTTCGACAAGAGATAAGAGTAGAAAACAGGAGCAATTATTTTCTTTAATCGATCTTCTATTTGAAAAAGAAAAAATATGCTCCGAAATTTTTACACAAGATATTTCATTGCAATAAACCAGGATCTCTTCTGCAATGGAATACATTTTCGAGATCTTTTCTGATTTTATCATTTTTCTCGAAAAAAAAGAATAGAGCAATGACGTGAAAAGAACACTTCTCTACAGTGTTGATTTTTCTTCTTCTATTCACAAAAGTATATATGATGGATATTGTGATGAACGTATTTTTTTTCAAATGAATGAATATATATCCACTTTTTTTGTAGTCTGACACTTATCCCTTTTATGCTTACCACCAGCCATCAGATTTCTCTCTCCCTCTGTTCTCTTCATTTGAACATATCTAAAATCGTCTCTTTTTAACGTTCTGTTATATACTGTGTATGCTGAATCATACTTTTTGTTAATCGAACGAAAAATGAGCAAAAAAAACGTAAAAATTTGATGTCGATAAGAAAATGTATTTCTGCACTGTACACTAGAGAAATATATATATGAACCAAAAAAAATAAGAAAGAAGAAGAAAAAAACACGAAAAAAAAGTTGCATGCTGGACCGCGAACCGGATGATGGTCAAGCGCAAAAAAAAATGTCGATATATATATATACATACGTCGAGAAATACAATTAGACACGCAGCAGAGAAAATAGAATAAAAACATATAATACAAAAAAAAGAGAAAAACTAAAGCAAAAAATACTACCCTATCGTCATATATTCTATCCAAAAACCTTAATAAATTTGTTATTCTCAATCTGCCTGCGTATTCTAGAGAAAAAAAAAAAAACACAACACACAACTTGGCGTACGTACAACAACAAAAAAAGATTTGAAGCGCGATCACAAAAATATACATCAAGTGAGAGAACAATGGAAAGCGAGGAGAGACAGGGAAAGAGAGAATGAGAGGACAAAAGTATATCCTGATAGGTAAAAAAATAATAAGAAAAGAAAGTAGATGAATGACTTGGAATTGCCAGTCTCTTTTGAATATCAGAAAATTTTTTGTCTGTTTTTATATGAGATCCTAGCCATTGACCACAATATGAGAAAGAAAACAAAGAAATCAGAGATATAATCTTTGTTATACGTGTGATAAAAAGGTAGGGAAAATGTAACATTTCCTTCTTAAGGATAAGTAGGAAAAATTGATTTTTTGCTTAAGTTTCATGATGTATACCAGAGAGAAAGAATGTGTTATGGTTCTGAGCGGTTTAATCTGTGTTCACGTCAAAGCTACCTCACATTAATATACATTCATCTTGAAGATGGTCATAATAAATAGGGTGACATCTTGTCATCTCTTCATGATTCTAGTCTATCATAGTAGGAAAGAGAATGACATTCTACGTGCATGTTTAATGAATCAGCCTCTTTTCTTTAGAAATTACTTTCACTCTCTGTAACCATTTTCGTTTCTCAGCGAAAATGATTGTGTTTTTCAAACATTTGGAATCAAGACTATCAACTATTTCCCATTTTGATCCTTATTCCTCGTTATTTTTTTGTCTCCCAGATGGATAAGAAATGTAGCCTTTTATCGATTTTGAAGTTTATATACTTTTGCCCCAAATGTTCTGTTCCACCTTAAAAAACAAGGAGATGATCCTCTGCTCTGAATGTACCTCGGTCTCGAATAGTCTAGCTTGGTTAAGTTTCTTGTTCATTAATCAGTGGATGATAGATGTCAGAACAATCCTTCTACAGATTAGAGGTGAGCGGGACATGTCTGAGACACAAGAATTTTTACAGCAGGGAGTAAAAGCAACTGCTCTGCACATTTAAGCTACAGGTGTTAACGATAATCCATTTAATAATAGGGAAGTGCTTAAATGCGCAGCTTATAAACTATTATTTTTAGCAATAAAAGAGTATAAAAGTTTCGTTTCGTTCTTTATCAACTCTAATTGTTACTTTTTAGATTTCTTGAATGGTCTCATCTGATATAAACGTTAGTCATCAAAAAAAAAAGTTGAAAATAACAAAATCAAATGCAACTGAGAATTCAGAATGCATAGTTAATGATAAGAAATATGTAAGTATCACCATTTGAGAAAGATAGAAATAATTGTTTTACTAGAATTAATTTTATTTTTAGCAATCGCTCATGAAAAAAAGATCGATGTTTGAAGAAAAGAAAACAAATGTAAGTATGACTAAATCACTTTTTGAATGTTAATTTTTTATTAAGCTAGACAACAATTCTTTTCATTTGTTTTTTAAGTTTCCATCTCAGCTCAGTAGCGATGAATCATCTCAACAAGGAGACGAATGTTCTGAAATTCCACTGGCTGTAAGCATCTCTATTATATTCTGTTTTTATTGTTGTTATTGACGTGTTTTTATTTATTTTTTAATAGTTAATCAAACCATCAACAACAAGATTGTCAATAAATGAAAATGAGCAGCAAATGAAAGGTGTTCGAGTATGTATACGATTATTTTTCAAATGAAATTTTATTTCTGTAAGTTGTTACTTTTAACCTTTTAGCGACGAAAACCATTACGTCCATGGTCATTATCATCACGTGTTGAAAAACCAATTTCAGTGGTAAGTCTCATCAACTATTTGATCCTGTATTCCTAACTGATATTCTATTTTAGAATTCTGCCGAATTGATAAATGATGATGACAGTCAAATGGTATTTAATATCACTTATTAATCTTAATTTGATAATTAATTTTAAATAAATTATTTCAGGAACAAAATGAAAATCACCAAGATGTAGAAGAAGATGAAAATGAGCCAATTAAAGATGAAATAAATGACTCAAATAATAGTGAACAACAATCACCAAATGATAATGATGACAATTCAAATGTAAGAAATTTAATTAAATTTAAAAAGTTTTGTTTTGTTTAATAAATGAGTTTTCTTATTGCTTTAGATTTCTTATCGACAATACTCGGAAACAGACGAGAGCCATGGAAGAAAGGTTACATTCATCCAGTAACAAATATCAAAAAATTCACCATATACTTTTTTGTTTTAGTTGACAAAAATGGAATGGCCTAAACATTTATCATCACTTGATGATCAAATGAAATTATTTCAATTAGATTCAGTTAAAAATTCAGTTTATTGTGTTCGTTGTGGTCTCGATGCATTACAAGACAATTTACTCGATCATATCTCGGTTCATTATCCTTATAAATGTTACTCGTGCAAGTACGTAAGATAATCTATTTGTTTACATGTATGTAGAAGATCCATCTAAGTATAGAGTTATCTATTTTTAAAAACTGATGAATGAAATTATTGACTTTATAAATTTATCGATGAGAAAATAATTATAAAATCTTTAATGTTTACAGGTGTTTTCATTGACGGTAAGTATCTATATGTATATCGCATAATATACTTGTTGTTGTTTTGCTATTGCAATATATATTTGTTTTGTCATTCGTCATATATAAACTCTTTTAGTGAATTTAAAAATCATTGTAAATGGTTTTTGTCTATATATAGCAATTATATGTTTCACGCGTAAAAATAATTTGCTTTGCTGTTCAGTTTCACATCTGGAGATGAAAGCACAATGAAATCAATCAGCTATTATTTTAGAGATCACAGTGAAAATCTAAGAAGAATCTAATTGAGTCTAAGAAACTGTAAAAGTTATGTAGATTAAGAGAAATGAGCTTTCACACACATAAATCTCGATCATTTTTCCCCTTATTACCTAATAGTCTCTTATTCATTTATTTCATTTGTCATCTTAGTAATATTCTGTATTGTACGTTGTTAACAATCACTGGTGCTAGAACGTATCTTGTTAAAAAAAAAAAGGATTATTCTATAGGCTTTAGCAGTATTGTATGGAGTCTTGAGACAAGAATAATTGAAGTTATTTTTTGTTGTTGGTAGAATAATATAGAAGAACTACATTTTTGCCGATTTTTTTTTGGCCAACGCGGACATTATTAGATTTTTTTTTGATAAAAGACAAAGGAAAATAAAAAATGGAAAAAAACGAGCTTAAATACCCTTTTTTTTATACCTAACTAAAAAATAATTTTTTTTTCTCTATCACGGTTATGTGTACGCAAAAAAAATTTCCCATATTCAGCATATTTTTTACAATGACAAAAACGAGTAAAACAAAAAAAAAAAAGGAATAATATCCGAGCAATTTATGTGGGTCAATATACATTTTTGAAAAATAAATTCATATTTCTTTTTACAATGGAAAAACAATAAATTCGATAGTTGAAAAATAATCGATACAGCGGTGCGTGCCATGACGAAAATATTTTATATTGGGGCAGAAAGATATTACAGAAATTATTAATTTATATGAAAAAAGGTTCATTTTCTGGATTACTTCTGATTTTACCATTCTTTATTTATTTTAGATAGTTATCCCCTCCGTATTTCTCTTCAGAAGCATAAATTGCTATCGTTTTTCTAAATCAATTCTCAGCTATTTTTGTAAATAATTCTTATTGAAAAGATCTTTTCTGCAAATAGAACGTGTTTATTTGAAGCAATTGAGTAAAATATTAATTTTTTAGCTACCACCACTATATGCTACTATCTCCGATTCTTGAGTTCGTTTGTTTTCTGACCTACATAGACTACAACAGAGGCGACGGAATGGTTTGAAAGCTGTGGGGGTGGATTTTTTTTTCTGTAAAGTCAACGAAAACTATCAGAGTATTTTTACATTATCTCACAACCTAGTGCGTAATGCCTCTAGAGCTGTGGGAGCGACGCCTCCATTGCCCCTATGGTTCCGCCGCCCCTGGACTACAACAAAATAGAAAATATCTACTGGCTTTCTTCACCTGCAAGGAAGATTTTACATAGTTCACATGTATTTTGTGCTCTATTTGAAAATGAAAACATAAGTCATTCTATTAAGATTTATCAGTTGATCATTTTTCCTAAAGTTCTTTTTGTCGTGAAGGCAAAAATAATCAAAATACAGACTAGTTTGAGGAAAATAATGTGCACCAAAAAAGAAAAGTATCTGTAATAATAGTTTTTGTTGCATGTAACATATTCAACTAAATTCTTTCATACTTCTTCTAGCGTGATCATGATACTATCTTTTATTTGCGATGAACTTTAATCGATAGTGTTTTCCTTTGTCACCTATCACAGAGTTGAGATATAACTGATACAACTATTTTCCGATACAATATTTCTCTGAGATGATTATTTTTCTTTACTGAAAGAAAACTTGTACTATTCTTTTGGCACTTATATAATTTTGTATTTGTTTTCAAAATTTGTACTAATGCTTAATAAAACAAAATGTCGAAAAAACTTGCATACTTATAATTTCAAACGCTTGAACGTGCTATGCTCACTGTGCACTTTAAGAAATGATTTTGCTCATATATCACAGATTTTTAAAAAAACGTTTGTAATATAATCCAGTTTTGTTTTGTTTTCATTTTAGTTTTTTCTGTGATTCCTCATCTGGTCTCGATAAACACGTCCTTTCCCATGCATCTAAAACCCCAAACATAACAAATAGTAATCAAGCAATGAAAAATAATTCAACACAATTTCATTCAGTACCTCTAGTAGCAACAACAGGTACAACGAATGGTAACACATCAACGTTCAATCAGCGAGATTCAAATGAAGATGGCAAATCAGCAACACCACCACGATCAAAAGTATACCGTTGTCGACAATGTGTATTCGTATCTACCATTAAAGTAAGTATAACAACGACAATCAGTAAATGATAGTTTATCGTATTGTGTATATGCTTGATTTCTCTTGTTCAGGAAGAATTTTGGGCTCATCATCGTGCACACATTCGTCCCGACAAAGTATTGGAATGTCCATCGTGTCCATTTGTGACAGAATATAAGCATCATCTTGAATATCATTTAAGAAATCATTTGGGATCAAAACCATTCAAATGCTCAAAGTAAAATTAATATTTGCTTAATCGTTTTAGAAAGTTTTTATTCATTCTATACAGTTGTTAGCGAAACGTATTTATTATTTTGAGCATAAGAAACTAAATGAATAATAGTTTCATGAGATTGAACATGCAAAAAAAGCATTTTTTGGTCTGCGAATGGATGATAAAAAGTGTCACACAATGTTTTCACTATTTAGATGTGATTATGCCTGCGTTAATTTATCAATGTTACGTTCACATATGAAATCACATTTTCGTCATTTATTATTCAAATGTCGTAATTGTTCATTTGAAACAAAACAGTATCAAGCATTGCAAGTGCATGTTGAAACTGAGGGTCATGAACCACATCTCGATAGTTCAATTGAAGAATTTCTTAAAGAATATGGTGCTGGAGCGAATACAACTATACCGACACTACCAGTACAACAACAAGAAAAAACACGTAGCCAAAAGGTGGTCAACAATAATAATATAACAACACGCAATGGAAATAATAAACGACAACGTTCCGATGTATCAACTAATAGTAAATCAATGTCTCCACCACTGATGAGTGTTTCGCCACCTTTACAACAGTCAACAACTCCACACATTAGTGGAGCATTAGCAGCGGCTGTTGCCGCAGCGGCAAGTTACGTGACAACGAATAATTTGATCAATACACAACAACCACAACGATTAGCATGGAATCAGAAACAAAAACTTAATCCATTTAATAGTCTTATTACATCTTCAACAGCATCTCCGTTAGAAGCAGCCACTTCCCTCCTGAGTAAACGTGAATCATTATCGTCGTCAGCAACATCACCGACGTCAATTTTAGAACAACAACAACAACAACAAACAATTGATACTGATTTACTTTTACAAATGATTCAATCAAGGGATAACAGCACCAGTTTGCTTTGCACATTGTGTGATTATGTAGCATCGAATAAACAATCGTTCGGCATACATCTGTTTGAACATGCTAAGAAAAATGAATTGCTCAGTCGATCATTAACTGATGATACAACATCGAAATTATTAGAACTATTCAATGGAAAATTTGCATACGGGTCATCACCAAATAGTTTTTCACCACAACAAGTACGTATAAGTCTGAAAACAGAATAAACACTTCGTTGATGCGTATAAACATTCCAATAATGTTTTTCCTGTCTCATGGCTAACATGAAGTAGGTCTGCTAGACGAAGTGACTTGCTGATATATAATAGCACGACTGTTTAACCTTTTCTAGCTGGATGTCGCTCTTTGACAGCAATTTTTGCTGTGCTTTAAAAACTGCCGGCTGAAAAGGACTAAGAAAACAACGAAAGCAAACTTTTTCTCTCTTCATTTTAGCTTAGTACTCTTGCATCCGAAACCTATCAGAATATTTTAACGCAACAATTTCAGCAACAGATGTCAGCTGCATATGATTCATTTATTGACAATAACAACAATAATACAACATCTTTATCTTCATTATTGAATGGCACGTCAGAAACAACACCTACTCCATCGTCTTGTTTATCAACAGAGACTCCAATTAACGAAATTAAATCGGAACCAATCGATGTTAAAATAAAATCAGAATTAAAACGTCTACGGACTACATCGATTTCTAAACATGTACGAAAACGAAAAGGGCAAGCATTTAAAATATTGAAAACAGAACAAAATTTAACAACAGCAACATCAGATAATGATGAATACAGCGAAGATGAACCGCAAGGTGGTGATGAGACGAGTAATGACACAGCTGAACTGAAAGAAGCAAGTGCCGATTTATTACAGCGATTACACTGCGACTATCTACAACAAGATGCAAATGATCCTCAAAAATTATTACGTTCACAAGATCAAGAAACGCAAGTGGATGAAAAACAAATTGGAAAATTATTTGAATGCTCCCATTGTGAAATATTATTTCGTGATTTTGCTCTATATTGTATTCATAAATTATTACATTATTCACAATCAAATCCGTTTAAATGTGCTCAATGTGGTGAACAAAAAGCAAATAAAGTCGAATTTTTTATACACGTTGCACAAATGGCTCATGAACTAACTTAATAATTGTTATCATTTTTGTTTATTTTTTGTGTACGTCATTTTTGTAAATCTCGTTTTGTCTCTCTATGTAAATATGGGTGTATATGTGTTTTCGTTTGTATGTAAAACATCAGACACGAAACGTGTTAATTATCAGAAATGATGTTGTTTTTATTCAGATAATTTTTGTTTCATAACAGTTGAAAAACATAAAGAAATAAATTAAAACAAAAATTCAAATGACTAGCTTTTGCGTCAGCGCGCATTCTCAGTGTTTGACAACTAAAGAATTGAGAAAGACACAGCGATGATTAGTATGGAATGTCTTTTAAAAATGAATTTAACATTTTAGTGAGCTATTACTTTTCATATGGTTGAAAGCTTCATTCTATTGCATAAGTGTTACATGAACGTTAGAATAGTTTGCGCTTGTATTGTACCCGCGGTATCCATGGTTTCCTTCGACTGAGTTATGTATGACCGATTCAATTTTTCCAGTTTTGATTTCAGCTTAGCCTACCAAAACCTAAAAGAAGAGTACCTTTTTATTTAAACGAAAAAACTTTTTAACCTGTTGCTTGAGACGAACGTGGTAGGAGACAACTCTCTCGAAACAGTTGACCGAATTCATATAATGATTAAACTGTCACTATTCATCTTAGTTTAAACAATAGTGTTAAATGTACTTCAATTCTGTCTTTCATTTCATCTGAAATACTGTGTAATTGTGTGCAAACTTGAGCTGGAGTTTTTCCAAACATAGGCAAAAGCAGTGGTGACGGGCCCGTTTGTGTGAGGGGAGTGGACACCTCTCCTGCTTTCAGAAATTTTGGCAGAAATTTGCTCTGGTTTGAGCCAAAATTACGGAAAATTTACTCCAATTTTGCGAAAAAATGGAATGAGTCTACTCCGATTTTAGCAAACTTTTATAGTTTATGACACTTCACAAATGCATCCTCCGTATGAAAATTTAGATTCTTTTTAACAGAAATGTCCAGTAATTCGTCAGGCAAATGTCCTCTGTGTCTTAAACCAATTTTAATCAGGGACCAGTTTCTTAAAAAAACTTAAGTGAAAAATTCGTCTAAAGTCAAATTTTTTAGCTAAGTGTGTTTCTCAAACATTACTTAACTTAAGGTAACTCTCGATTTCACTTAAGTTCTCACTTAAACTTTTAAGAAGAAAATTGTTTAAATTTTGTAACTTCTCTATTTGAAGTCAGTAACCCGTCCAACTCACCATAATTAGACTGAACATAATTTTTTAGAGATTTTGTCTTGGATTTTGTTCAGAAAATTGCTGTAAAATAATCTAAGTTGTCTAAAATACGAATGGTTTTTACTGCATGACCTCTGACTGACTTAAGTTTTTTTAAGAAAAGCACTTAAGTCAAAACTTAAGTTTGATTTAAGTGTGACTTATTTTTTCACTTAAGTTTTGACTTAAGTTTTTTTAAGAAACTGGCCCCAGAACATTGTAAAAGTTTCCTTACCAGTATTGATACGGATCGAAAATCCAAAACAACGGGTCGTAGAATTTAGTAGTTTGTTTTGTATTTCTTTCGTTTTTGAACACACAATATGAAAAAACACCAAAAAATGCAGTTTCCTTCGTGTGTCTGCAAAGTCTGATGGTAACTGAGTATGCAACAGTAAGTCCGAAATGGAAAAATGGCGCGTTTTATATCATTTCTTTTACTTCCGAACTTGCCAGGAAACTTTTTTGGACTTACACCGATTTCTGGAACTACAGTCGCCCTACTCCAACTTCTTCGCGCCGCCACTGGGCAAAAGATAACTGACATTTGAAGAATCTTTTGAGTAGAAAAATGCTTCCTTCAGCTTAAAAACATCTTTTGCGCATTAAATGTCTCACCAGATTTGCAGTTTTGTATGTGCCATAGCGAGTCAACTATCGAACTTTCTTAGCGACACTTTACCATTTTTTTTCTCTTGTGATTTTGAATATTATATATGAGCTTTTGTACGGTTATTAAAAAAAAAACGAAAGTGTTGTACATTTTGTAGCCCACACTTCACTGAGGCCCCACAAAAATTTCCCAACTACCAGACGCGAACTGGCTGAGATATTTCAGTAACAAGGTCGGTTTCTGGCGCTCGACAGGATTTCAACGGAATCTATGCAAAATACTCGCCCAAAACAAACTTATGTATTCATTCGACTCGTCTTGAGACAAGCAATCTAATGAGTCTACTAGCAGTTGCGATAAGGGAAAAAACGCAAAAAACCTATAAAAAACGCGTTTTATTTCGAAAAACGCCACTAAAGTTCACTCACAGTCACGATTTCATTGTCTGAGAAAGTTTACCGTTCCGGCTTTTTTCGGTTTGTATTGGTTGCATTATCAAGGGAGCGTGTTTATCAATAATAGCGTTTTCTGTTTTAGCCGAAATTTGCTTCATTAATACCACATTACCTGATAAATGTGTTACAAAACAACTATAGAAAAAAAGAAAAAGCTACGGTTCTGAGCCTCGTATGATGTCGAAGTCTATCACAAAGTTTTTCCATAAAGTTTTCTTTGCAGAACCTAGGAGCACTATAAATCGCTTGCCCATGACCAGACGAGTCTATTGATGTATGATAAGCGCAGGCCTGAGCGAAGAATTTTGAAAAAATCGAGCAAAAATTGTCGTTCTACATTTTTTACAGAGAAATGTCGCTCTACATTTCGCAGAACATCGTAAAATTCTAACATAAGCAATTATCAGACAGCCTCAAAATATTTGGTGCTAATGCAACTTTTTATGCTCTATTCGCGCTATTAGTTTCAGCAAGTTTTGATATGCTCGCTAGGAGTTATTCGCCATTCGATTTGCAGAATGTCGCTCTACACATTGAGTGAAAACTGATTTTTTTAAAAGTCTGAACATTTTTCAAAAACCTAGAATGCAAAACCGTATATTAGAGTTACACCATTTTGTTACTCGCCCCGAGCTCTTTCATTCTAGACCACTCTCGATTTTCCAGCTTGCTGCTGCGCTGAGCTGGAAAGCGCTTTGTGTCGCTCTATACAAAATGACACGTTTGAGTGCAAATGTATTTTCGACCTAGAATGATTAAAAAAAGTAAAGGACGGGAAAATATGAGTAACATAGGTCGACACAGAATAAAAGTTCTACAAACTGGCCTATTTACTTTTTTTTCCTTTCTGCCCTATCTTTGGAAAATCTATTTGTATAATGGTGAATAATCCGGAAAATGGAATTTTTCGACTTTGAATGGGTACAACTTTGCGGGTTGACCAGATTTCGCAACGAATTTTTTTGTGGTCGTGGAACCGTCATCAGCGAGTAAAACAAAAAAAAATTTTCGAAACCGGTGGGCAATGGCAGAAGTTATTGAAAAAATATCGTAAAATTACAATTGTACAAAAAAGTTACGATTCGCTCATATGTCCAAAGTTTCAACCCTTCACGATTTATTATTCGCGAAAAAAATGAATTTGACTGCAAAAATGTTCTATCAGATAAACAAAAAGTAGCAATAGTTTTATGAGAAAATCCACAGACTGTAAACTTATTATACATCATTCGATTCATCTTTTTTCAGAAAATCTGTTTATGATAGTTTCAAAGTTTCCCGCACCTGTAGAGTAAGAAACACTTACTGAAGCCCTGTTTCATATTTCTGACCTAAGCACATAATTTAATGCTATGATACTATTCCCATCAGATTAACTTTGTCAAGATCTATCGAAAAGGTGTGAAGCAATTCGTTTTTCAACTACACTTCAGCGATTCTATATCGAAAAGTGCTCGGGGATGTTATTGCTTTTTATAGCAAAGTTGTGTTTCTTAAGGAAAAAGAAAGTGAAAGTCAGAAATATTACTTTTTGTTGTTCTCAAACTTATCGGTTGCCAAGGACCAGTAAAGTTGTCTGTGATAGACAAATAAAATTGGAGCGAAAGTTTACTTTTTTAAATTTTTTTTATTTAAACAAACGATAGAGTGGCAACGCAAGTCACTCGTTACATTCAAGTTCTGCTTCAGGCGGGCGAATCCGAGTTGGATGTTCAATATTCTTCAAATTTTTCGAATAAAGCACTATATTGTTCAGTCTGTGAATTTGAGAGTCGTATTTTACTATTTTATTTTTTTATTCGATGTGACATTGTATCATAGACCCTATGATACAAATATGCATGTATGTTCGTCTCTATATCAAATATGCATGTATGTTCGCCTTATCTTCGGAAGATAAGGCGAACATACATGCATATTTGATATAGAGGCGATAGGAGGTGCATGTGTACGGACAGTTTGCATGCTCTTTTCTTTCTGTTACAGTATGGGCATCAATCGAAAAGTTTAAGCATCGAAAGTCGTAAACAAAGTTAAGAAAGGATAGCGGACTCGAACTTGGGAATTTGAAACGTTTCTGCAGACTCGAAAATGACTGGACTCGCTCATCTCTGTTCTGCTTGATCATATGGGATAAAAACTGTCAAACATATGTCTTCAGATAATTCTCATCATATGCTTTTCATATCTTCTTGTATGTCTTACGGTCGAACAGAGGTCGCTGCACCTGTCCTATATTTTTTTTTTTTATAAATCACCATTTGAATAGAAGAGACAATTTGGTTTTAAATGTCTTGAATCAATCATATGCAAATTTTCTCATCTAGAAATATTTATTTACTTCTGTTCCTTTATATAGGCATTTAACCTATATATAGACAAGGAAAAAATACGCATACACTAATAGTTTTGTAATATTTTTAATATTTACATCGAAAATTAAGCAGAAATTAAATCATGTTTAAGTTTATATTAGTAATATTTTGTTTCTGGACAATAATTGGAATGTTATCATCAGTTCCAGGTGAGAGTTTATTATCTAAATGTTAAATGTACATATATTAGTTCTTTTTCTTTTTTTTTAAGTGAATGATTTAAAACCATTAAAACCTATTGTTTTGTTAGTAAGCATTCTCAAGCTTCAATATTTATGTGTAAAATCTCTTTTTCATGGGTCTTTTGTTTAGCCTCGTCCGTGTCCCGTGTATATGTGTATGTCTCTTATTAATTGTTCACAGTGGGAAATGACACATTTCTATTTGGAAGATGGTACAAAGTGTAGTGGTTGTCCTCGATGTGTAGCAACAATAAGCGCCACGATGGATACTGAGTTGGATTAGTGGACACAAACAAATAATTTAGCATGCATTTTTTAAAAATATTAATAAATCTCTCTGAAATTTCATTTTAAACAACGGCGACAAAAAAAATAAATGAATTTCTTTTGGGTTCCTTATATAATTATAGATCTACACGTATGATTTAATTTAGATAAAAATTATGATATAGCTGACTGTCTGAGTGTCTTATAGTCAACTCAGTTACAATATAATTTTTATCCTTGTTCCCTTATGTTAATCAATGAATAGAAATTTCAGTCTCTTTATAGTTCTCAACTCCAATAAACTCAGCTATCTACCTACATACTTTTTACTGTTTTATTTTCAATTAGAAGAAAGCATACATGATGATTATTTCTTTTGTATTTTTACCATACTTTGGTTCTTCTATCACCGTATGTTTCCAATAATTCTTCATCGATCATAAATTTGATTAATTCCGTTTGATCACTTCGAACTTCATCAATACGATTTTCAATATCGGACAACAATTTTTCTACTTTAATATGATGTTCCAATTGATTTGTTTCCAAATAATCTTGTATATTAAATTCATTTTTATCTACGGCAATTTTATGACATCTTTCTAATTCTCGCCACGATCGCTTATTATTTTCTTTAGCTTGAGTTAAACTATTTCTTAAATCCATTACACTTTGAATATCGGAATTAATTTTAATACCGATTTTATTAATCAAACGATCAACTTGAATTTTTCTTAATGCTATAAATCTTACTAATTTATCAGCAGTCGAATAGTCTTCATTGCTTAGATGAACGAACAGACTACTAAATCCAGGATAAGCATGGGCAGCTCCAAACTTTGATGACAATTGTAAATAATTGTATTGACTAGTTAATTCTTGCGTAACTAAATCCCGAAGACACACACCAAGAGAAGTGTCAACTTGATCTTGTGCCGATATGAGAATGAATGTTACAAATAAAATGATAAATTTTAGAAAAAACATGTTGTTGAAGACGACTAAAATGGAATATATAAGAAAAGAGTTCAACTTATCGACAAACAATCCAAGAAACTGAAAAAACTGCGCTTGAAAATAACACTGGTATATTATTTAATTTCTCAACTTACTTGAGGGTACAAAAGGTGAATCTGTATGTTTTTATCAAATGGTTAAATAGTAATCTGTCTTTCTATTCTTCTTCTTTTTACCTTTTGTTTTCAATTTATTTGCGGATTTTTGTTATTAGAGTACATTTAATGTTTGTTTTTTTCATACTTTATGGTATCATAACTTCACCAACTGGGCATAAATTAAAAACGTTTCAACAGACTGAGAGAAGGGAGATCATGAAAGAACGAGAGCTTATAATCTTTAGACAACGGTACTTGATGAATAATGACGAAACTTCTAACACCTGCGTTACTCAAAACAAAAAAGGTATTCAAATTTTCTAATGATAAGAAGAGTGAAGAAAAGAAGATGTTTAAAATTTAAAAGAGAATTTATGTAAGCATTGACCAGGTTCCTTCTCAAAGCAAAAAAAGGTCTAGATTTGACTTAAATTTTCTGTATAGTTGTGGCATAGATAAGAAATAATATAATGTCGTGTGGTCTCAAAATATGTGATTCTCGAATTTTGACGTTGTAATGACTATTATTCAAAGAATTTTTTCGCTTTTTTTCAGTTTTATTTCAAAAAAACAAAAATTCAATAAACTGTCCTTTATTGAATTTTTGTATTTAATGCCTATGGGCATTAAATCGACGATACGGACTACAAAATTAATTACTTTTTTGTCGAAAAAAGTTTATATGGTTCAAAATTCATATTACAGTTTTGTGAAAATTTCTGAAAAACGTTTTGAGTCTTCTGTAATATTGATGAAATTTTGTAGAAATCGATTCATTCTAGGGAATGAAAAAGATTTATGCATTCGATCAGACTCCGATCTATAAGATGGTGTTTCAATCTATTCTCTAAAGATGTTTAGAATTGCTGTTAGATGCATGAGTTTTGGAGTAGATCTTGCTCCTTTTGCATTTTGAATCAAAATAAATCACATAATCGTGTTCTTCAGATAAAAATGAATCAACCTCTTAATCCGTCAATCAAATATTTCAGGATAAGAAGGAATTTAAGTATTTCTGATTCATAGGCAGCATTTGAAAACATAGTGAGACTTCAACCATCCATCTTCGAAAATTTTTATGGCAGTCTTTCATACGAAGAAAACATGTTCTTGTACGAATTTCTTCTTGTTTTTGAGAAAGAATATCTAACTTTTTTCCATAAGCCGGCAGGGAACACAGAAAGGTAGCGATGAAAGTTTTCACGATATAGTTAGAAAATTCAATGATTTTACTCCTGTCTTTTCTGTATCTCCTATTACGTTTGTACTGATAGACAGATATTAGGGTAAACGTTCGTACAAAAAAAGCTTTTGAACTTGATTTGTTAGAGCTACAGGTATAGTTCGTTCAAGAATGGTATTAGTTATTCTGCAAAATACCTTAAACAATGTTAGAGCAATCAAATCTTTGAACCAAATCTAAACATTCTTGTTTCGAAAGTTGGCCGACGTTTACCTAGACTCTGTCTTAATGTCGGAGTTTCACCCTTGAAAATTTCAAATAAACTAAAGTTTAAATTTTATTCTATTTTACCGTTTAAGTCAAAGGAAGAAGATAATTATAGTTAAAACATTTTCTTATACAGATTCGATTCTTTCGAACCAACCACGAATAAAATATTTAAAATTGAATAATATGTTCTTATAAATAAGGAAAACAAGTTGTGAAGTATAGTGACATGTTTCAAAGATGGGCAAGCCATCTGTTTTTCAGTCCTAGTCCAGTCTCAGTCCTATAAACATCAGTTCGAGATCAGTCCGAGTGAGAAATTTTTTCCTATTCGCTCGTATGATTACATGTTTTGTCTTGTATCTTTTTACCGAAATGACACTGTTTCTTTAAATGCCTATATCAAAGATTTTTCTCTACACTAAAACCCAAAAGTTGAAGAACTGATCTGAAAAATCAGTCACGTCTATGAAAATAATCTGTTCCAGTCAAATCTCAGTTCATTGGGCTTTCAAGCTTAGTCCGGTCCCAGTCCGGTTAAAAAAAACAACTCAAATTTATACCAGAGATAGAACAACGAAAAAGAAAATTCATGTGTCTTTCCTCAGAATTTTGTGACATGATCTTCTATGGGTTTTCTAGAAAACTTTAGTTTTTATCCAGTCACATTATGACTTCTCGAAAAAATAGTCCGATCAAGCCGAAATTTTCACCACAGATACTCCAGACCCTATCTCAGTCAGGTTCTAAATTTTTTTTCGAAAAATATGCTTTCCTTCTCGAGATATACGAAAAATAAAATTTAGAACCTGTGGTAGAGTCTGGAGTATCTGTGGTAAAAATTTCAGCTTGATCGGACTATTTTTTCGAGAGGTCATAATGTGACTGGATGAAAATTGCAGTTTGCCAGAAAACCTATAGAAGATCATGTCATAAAATTCTGAGGAAAGACACATGAATTTCGTTTTTCGCTGTTCTATCTCTGGTATAAATTTGAGCTCGATCAGATATGTGCTCCGCATTTGGCAACAAGACAAAAAGAGAGGAGGAGATACCCTTAAGTTTGAGAGACCTTTTGCTTTTCCGTTGAGAACGAACTATTTACGGTGTGATTTAGCGCTGACTCCTTGTTCATCTGTTTAGTTTTAAAATTTGTTCATAATTGTTCTCAGATAAAATAAATGAAATTTTTTTGTAGAGAAAACCGACATAACAAAATCTCCTCTCGAACTGACGATAAATCATACCATACCGTAAAGCGATTAGAGAGTCAATTGTATATGTTGGACACTTAGAAACCTTCAAAGTCACTTTTATATAGCGTATCATAGAGATGGACAACTCCGGCTACGTACCACGCCAACCCCGCTAAGAAATCTAAACTTCAACTCAGTTTCAACTACGAATTGAAATTCATTCTTTTTCCTTCCTATTTTTTAATTCGTCCGTACAACGATTTTTCACTTTTTTCGCTCTTTCGAACCTACCATATGATCACAAAGTGCATTTCTTTTCCTTCCGTATGATACATGTGCAGCGAAATGTGAGGTGTATCATGTGTTATTATATGCTGAGCACACGTTTATATCTCTCGCGACAAAAATAGATAAAAACCAAAGAAAAAGAACTCTCGGGAAGAAAAGGAAATGGGATTGAAGAAATTTTGAACCAGAGTTTCGAAGTTGGAGTTGAACAAAATCTGTCATCAACTCAACTCCAGTCGTTTATAAAGGAAACTCCAAGTCAACGCCAACTCCGCAAAACATGACGCTCAACTCCGGAGTGGAGTTGCCCAGCTCTGGCGTATCCTAATTTTTACTTTCGAAATCGTCTAACCATTTGTCCGCCACTTTACGAGGAGACCTTGTTTTTCGAAATAAATGCGAAACTGAGTCAAGCGATAATTAACAAGTCAACAATCTGACCGGAAAAAGTCATATCTGTTTAGAAAAAATTTCTATCCGTGTGCATTCTCCTTTTTTGAATAAAATTAGGTTTTTTGAGAACGATTCTAAATTTCATATAACATAATTCAGTCAACAATCTTTGCGAATAGTTGAATGTAGTTTCGACTACAGTATTCTGATCAAAAAGAGTTGAAAGAATTATAGATTTGGCTCTTGTGTACTCGATATATTGAATCTGTTTTAACCAAAATGACGAATAGTTTGATTATGTTAGTTAAGAAATTAAGGATAATCTCCCCTTCTATATAAACTTGAACCTTCAGTATTATGAACATTACAGATAATATTAGATAGATCACGCGAAAAACTATTGAAAATTTTTTGGAAGTGGTCTCAATGTGAAGAAAACTCTTTTCTTTATCAGACTATAAGCCGAAAAATTTTTGAAGATACTGAAAACGAAAGAAAAATTGATAAAACTATAAATTAACATTTGTAGAGAAGATCATTGAACGTTGGAGTGGTCTTATTTTGTAGACTACCATTATTTCTCAACTCAAAATCAAAAACGGAGCGTACCCTGAATATTCATATATATATATATCTTTTTAAAATGACTGTAGAATGTTATATCCATAATGATTATTTTTTCCATCTATTAATTAATTTGAGCATAATAATAGACAAAAATTTTAAAGAGAACATAATTATGTTGAAAAGAGAACGTTTCTGATTTTTTTGGAGAACGCAATATTTTTTAGATTGAATAGAGAACACATGAAGGGCTAACTCGAAATATGAAGTTAAAACTTGTAGAATAACCAGAGACCGTGCGTATTGATGACTAGGCATTACAGCACTAAACAACTTTTATAAATATACATTCAACTGTATCTTTTTTGTAACTTGTACACTTCAATCTAAAAAATGACAAGACGAGTGTGGTGTTTTGCTGAGACTTTTTCAAATACTGATTTATTGAGGGAATACATTATGTGTTTCACAATTTCGCTCACAACAAACAACAAGTGGATTAAAGTTAATGTCTCGGCCTGTCCACGTAACCCGTGATTCCGTCACGATTTTTGTTGTTTTGCGAGTCTCTTGGCGTTCGAACAAAAGGAAACTAAGGAATTGTTTACATCTAGTCTTATAGAGAAAAGTGAGCTGAACAAAATGTGATATTTTTCGTTTTCGCAGAAT